GCGGCGGAGCTCATCATCTTCCCCCATCCGTCCATTGATCATCCTCCTTTACACGGCACTTCAACTGCCGCCGTTGCGGCAACAGTGGCGGCGGCGTCGCCTTTGGTGATGCCGCCGCCGGCGGAGCTTTCATCATCTTCCCCCATCCGTCCATTGATCATCCTCCTCCACACGGCACTTCAACTGCCGCCGATGCGGCAACAGCGGCGGCGGCGTCGCCTTTGGTGATGCCGCCGCCGGCGGAGCTGTCGTCTTCTTCCCCCATCCGTCCATTGATCCTCCTCCTCCACACGTCACTTCAACTGCCGCCGATGCGGCAACAGCGGCGGCGGCGTCGCCTTTGGTGATGCCGCCGCCGGCGGAGCTGTCGTCTTCTTCCCCCATCCGTCCATTGATCATCCTCCTCCACACGGCACTTCAACTGCCGCCGATGCGGCAACAGCGGCGGCGGCGTCGCCTTTGGTGATGCCGCCGCCGGCGGAGCTGTCGTCTTCTTCCCCCATCCGTCCATTGATCATCCTCCTCCACACGGCACTTCAACTGCCGCCGATGCGGCAACAGCGGCGGCGGCGTCGCCTTTGGTGATGCCGCCGCCGGCGGAGCTGTCGTCATCTTCCCCCATCCGTCCATTGATCATCCTCCTCCACACGGCACTTCAACTGCCGCCGATGCGGCAACAGCGGCGGCGGCGTCGCCTTTGGTGATGCCGCCGCCGGCGGAGCTGTCGTCTTCTTCCCCCATCCGTCCATTGATCCTCCTCCTCCACACGTTACTTCAACTGCCGCCGATGCGGCAACAGCGGCGGCGGCGTCGCCTTTGGTGATGCCGCCGCCGGCGGAGCTGTCGTCTTCTTCCCCCATCCGTCCATTGATCATCCTCCTCCACACGGCACTTCAACTGCCGCCGATGCGGCAACAGCGGCGGCGGCGTCGCCTTTGGTGATGCCGCCGCCGGCGGAGCTGTCGTCTTCTTCCCCCATCCGTCCATGGATCATCCTCCTCCACACGTCACATCAACTGCCGCCGATGCGGCAACAGCGGCGGCGGCGTCGCCTTTGGTGATGCC